GAAAGCTCCTAGTACATGATTGCTATGGTCCCTTCTAATAATTACAATCTATGAGTCAGGTTTCTCACTGGATAAGCTCAGAATTTTTAAAGCAACTCCATCTCTGTTTGATGGACTGGGGATCACTGTGAGCATTATAAACAGTGTTTAAGGTTCTCTAGCTTTCCACGGAGAAAGGGCAAGAGAATGGATAAACGCACTAATTCCAGGTTATTTTCTTTTGAATATAAAATCTAATAGATGAGATCTCCGATATCAGCTTTTAAAATTCTATATGCCAAGGTCAGGCATGGTGGTGTGTGCCTATAGTCCCAGCTACTCGGGAGGCCGAGATGGGAGGATCACTTGAGGCCTGGAGTTCGAGGCTGCAGGGCTTTATGATGGTGCCTGTAAATAGCCACTGCACTCCAGCCTGGGTAACCTAGTGAGACCCATCTGTAAAAAGAAAAAAAAAAATTCTATATGCTAAGAAAAATACACTATATCCAGTGTTCCTGTATTATAAATTAAATTCCTAGCGCCAAAAAGGAAAACAATAGATGATGCTATCTTCTAGGAGTAGAGTAGAACAAAACATCATCACTACAAATGTATGAGCTTTACATCTTCTCAGCAGGTTCCTTAAAAAAACAACAAGTTACTCATAGCTGCTCAGAGGCAGAGTATGGATTTTCCTTCCTAATATTTTAGAATTAAATTTATTATTTTTATCATTCATGGCTCAAAAGCAATGGAGGCCTAATGTTATGATTTCAAGAAAGAATGTGATTATGATGTTGCAGAGCTATAATATTTTGATCTTTTTCCAACTGAGAAAAATAGCACTTAGGAAAACAAGATGCTGAAAATGCTCAGAAATGACAAACAATAATATTTTCTCCCTCAGAACCAATCTAAACTTAACTTGAATTCATGTATGATATAAAGTGCTTAAATATTTTTTTTCCAAAAATTGTCCTTGAATGATAGGAATTCATCATATACTCCTGCTCATTGTATCTATCTGTACATTTTATGTAAAAGGCCAGACATACAGTTGCTTAGTTTGTGCATTATACACAGGCACCAGGCTGAAGGGGTGAATGTGGACTGAAATCTAATAAAGTTCTGGACATGCTGCTGTGCTTCCTGGTATCAGCATGTCCTTCCTGTCTGTCCCCACCACCCCTCACCCCCAAGGGATGTCTTCTGCCACTTGCAAGGAACAAAAGCACTGTGGGCAAGTCAGGCCAGTGCCATGGTGCTCTTCCCACCTGAAGGGGCACCTTTCTCTCATTGCCATCTAGGCTAGCAGTGGCCATTTAGGCTTTCAGTATTTGACTCCCTTTCAAAACATTGCTGGAGGCTGATTTAATTGGGTGAGCTCTGACTAGCTGAGATTTTACTATGATACGGGGCAATAATAGACAGAAGTTTTCTAAAATTGTTAGGTTCCTTCTAACTGAAGATTATGGCCACTTACAACTCTTTGGAACCTGAGGACATGGTTCTTCTGAAACTCTTCTTGAAAAATAATGACCTAAATTTGGAAAGAAATGAAAAAGAATTATTAATATCTTTCATAAAAGATGCAATAAGACTTCTAGAAATTATAGTTTTCAACTTAACTTTGATTCCTGATGAAATTCTTTTGCAGGTCTGAGAGGATCAATATTTCAACGTGTATCAGTAATATTAGATGGCTATTAAAACTGTAGTATTAGAATCTAAATATAGGAGCACTATATAAACTGGAAAGAGATGCTTTTTCTATACTGAGCATTATAAATTGACCACTGAAAGAGTAGAGTAGGCCAACCAATGTGATGCCGTCATGGAGAACTGGGCAAAAGTCTAAGTATTAATAATTCCAACAAGACCGCATATCTGAGTAAATACTTCAAGATGGCCACATGCTTGGTGTGATTTCAGGAATGTAACAAAGGTTTTCCCACCTCTCCCTCCCTGCTTACCTCTTGCCTATATTTCTTTTATTTGTTTGACAATACCTGATGGCCTAAGATTTATTTTTCACTACTTTGGCTTAAAGGTTCACCTGCTGTTAAAATGCAAATACCTCTGGATGGAAAGAACCTTGTCTTTAGGCGTTAGTTCTCTCAGAGTGCACAGAGAGCACACTCGGATGGGGACAATGATATAAGAGGATAGTACCCCACAGTTGGGGAGATGACAGTGAGATGGGAAAAGGATGGAGGCAGTTTCAACTACAACTTCCAGTGGAAATGACTCCACTCCAGAGGTTAGCACTTTGTGTAAAGAGTTCTGCACTGGGAATGGTAATTTGACTTAGAGATTAGTGGGTCCCAGACATCTGTCAGACAGCTCTGGTTTCATTTCTACTTCCATCTCCAACGAGCCATGTTTACTTGGACAAGTGCTGGCTTCTCCAAGCGCCAATGTCCTCCTTATGTGCCTGACACATGCCTGGCATTATTTTAAATGAAATCCTGGTAATAATAATACCAATCTTCTAGGATTGTTATGAAAAATAAATGGGATAATCTTAAAAAGTGGTTGCTATGTGCCTGGCAGAGAGTAAGAACAATCTTACGGAGCAAGTAATTCAAAGGACGATCCCTTCAATCTGTGATTCCTTGTGCAATTTACAAAGCACTTTCACATCTATTGTCTCCGTACAGCAACCCTGTAGGCAGAACTAGTCAGATATTTAATACCTCATTTTACAGACGAGGAAACCGAATGAAGCTTGGCATGATTCACTTGCTTAGTTGTACAGTACTCCCCACTGAAAAGGATGGCTGGCTAAAATGTGCATAAGTTGCCCAAATACTTTGTACTTGTTATTGATCTTTATTTTATAGATACAAAAACTCAGTAAGGCTTAGAGTGCTTTTTTGAGTGTCTTTTCTGCAACTTTTAGAGAAAAAGATGATTTTAGGAAAAGTATGAGTTGGCCAAATGTCTGTACATATTGATAAAAGGGTAAATAGAGTTACTTGACATGTAGAAAAGGACATGGGACAATTTAATCACCAATATATAAAAGTTATTGGAAGGGTCCTATTGCCCTTCATCTTCACCTGAGTATTGCAAAACTTAAAGAAGGAAGAGATTTAGACTGGAAGCAAGAAAAGATTTTTACCTCACCAAAGGTTCTTAAATTTTGGAAAAGCCTACCAACAAAGGGTTTGAAATCCTTTCACGAGATATATTTAGAAATCTTGGGTGGTTATATCTTCTGTATAGAATCCTGTTTAGAAGTGGAAAACTGAACCGGGAATCTTGAAATAACCTCTTTCAAATCTGGTTCCATGATTCAGCAAACAATTAGCTGACTTAGCTATAGGAGAGGGAAGTTCTAACATTACATTTGCTCTGATCATTTTCAACCAAACAAATAGTAGCTTTAAAAGCAGCAAAAACGAAATGAATATATTTCAAACATTCTCATTGGATGCTGAGGCTATGTCCTACCCCCTACTGAACAAAACCTTTCCTACTGGTCAGAATATTCCAAGCCTTTCATGGGCTCCCTGGGAGAAGCATCTCTCATTATACCCAGACAGTAGGTCCCTCTAAAAAATTTTCAACTCTGCTAAGCTGGAAGACTCTAGGAATAAGACTTGCTCATCAATACTAAAAAGTAGGTTATTGAGAGCACGCATGCCTTCTACACGCCTTCAAGTTTGGTTCAAATTAAAACCTTCCTAGAATGACATGAAAATCAGAGCTCATTCATTATGGTGTGTGACCTCGCTGAGTTCTTGTTTTTAAATTCAGTAAAATACCATATGTGCCTGTCAACTTGGTGTGTATATGTGAAAACACTCATCCATCTCTGAAACATGGCCTTTTTGGGGATAAGAAACAAAGATAACATCTTTGAGTAAAGACAAGGAAGGAGAAGAGAAACTTGAGTGAGCAGGATATAACTGCCTTCTAGTCTGTGGATACTGGCACAGATGCTGAGTTTTATAGAAGGTGGTAAGTTATTTTAATGAACTGCTATGATCAGAAAATAATTTCCTTTTTTTGACTCAACTTATATTTAGGTATATCATGACATTAAACATTACCAGAAAGCAAAACATCGATGTCATTTTAAAAAAGATGGAAGGACTTTTCTAGAATAAAATACATTAAATAGACATAACAACTAAATGCGATCTTTGATTGGATCCTGGTTATCTTATTCCCTTCATGCTGCTATAACAAAATGTCTTAGACTAGGATTTGTTCTGAAAGATTTGGATTCAGTCAAAAGACCGCACTCAAGGATCCAGAAGGCCACAGGTGGCCCCGAGGCTGCAGGTTCCCCACCCCTGGACTAGGTAATTCATAAAGAGTAGAAATTTACATCTCATAGTTCTGGAGGCTGGCAAGTCCAAGATCAAGGCACCAGCAAATCTGATGCCTGATAAGTCCTGCTCTCTGCTTCCAAGATAGTGCCTTCTTGCTTCGTCCTCACATGGCAGAAGGGCAAAAAGAGACAAACTCCCTCCCTCAAGCCCTTTTATAAAGGCACTAGTTCATAAGGGTGGAGTCTACATGACCTAATCTTTTCCTAAAGTCCCCACCTTTTAATGTTACTGCTTTGGGGATTGAGTTTCAGCATTAATTTTGGATGGACACAAACCATAAGCATTGGCTTTTTTCCTTTTCTATTTTTTGCCATGTCACATGAGTAATGTGCTAATGTTGTAACAAGATTTGAGGGAGGCACATCTCACCCATGGAGGTGAAAACCCAATCATCACACTCATGAACTACAAAAGGATCCTGCAGCACTGGTTTTTAACCAAACAACTGTAACTTTTCTGTGTGTTTGAAAATTTTCAAAATAAAAAGTTGAAGGGAAAAACAAAAATATTCTAGCTCTATCTTAAAGAAAAATTACCCGGGGTTACAGTTTTGTGTTAACCCAGAGAGAAGAAATCACCTTAAAACTTGTTTTATGGCTGGGGCTGGGGGCCAGCTTTGGAGCAGTGGCTGCAGTGGCTGCTCTGCCTGCGGGGACTGATGAGAAACTCCTGAAGTTCCTGGGTAAGCAAAGTCGAATCTCCTAAGAACATAATGGATGGAAAGGAGAAAACCTATGGTGGCTGTGAAGGCCCTGATGCCGTGTATGTCAAATTGATATCTTCTGATGGTCAGGAATTTATTGTAAAAAGAGAACATGTGCTAACATCAGGAACAATAAAAGCCATGTTGAGTGACCCAGATCAGTTTGCTGAGAACGAAACCAATGAGGTTAATTTTAGAGAGATCCCTTCACATGTGCTATCAAAAGTATGCATGTATCTTACCTACAAGGTTCGCTACACTAACAGCTCCACCGAGATTCCTGAATTCCCAATTGCACTGGAACTGCTGATGGCTGCAAACTTCCTAGATTGTTAAATAAAATAAATTATAATAAACTGTTAATTTTTTTCAGTATTTAATACCTGTCGTTCAGTTAGTAATTTTTTCATATATAGCATGTTGCCTGTATGCCATTGAACTATAAAGTTCATTGCAAAGCAGATTATCTTCTGTTTTTCGCATAGCAATCAGGGTTGAAATTTGCTTGCTACATCAACCAATTAAGGACATTTTCACAAATAGAAATAAATAAATATGCCAGAGAAAAACTTGTTTTATAAGAAGCAGGATTACAGCTCTGTATATTTTTGCTAAGATATTCGGCACAATGCCTTAGAGGAGCTTAAAAAATACTTTCTTAAGGGCTGAGATTTAAAATAGACAAACTTACGAGGGAAGAGGATGAAGCTTGCTCCTGGTTATGAAACATGTTCATCAGCCTGACACTTTAATTACAACTTCTTTGGAGTCCATAGTATATTGTCCTCATTAATCCCCAATCAGAGGTTTGAGTCATCAGAATAAATCTGCAGGATTTACGCACAGCGTTTGTTACTGAGCAGCCCGGCTTCAAGTTTCCAGGAGTATGATACATGACACTCTCTCTGCCCTTGCACTGCTGATGCGTCCCCAGTTTTTCCAAGCCAAAAGCAAAGCCCAAGATTAGAGCAACGTATATTTAAGGGTGTGTTTGTGCAGATGCTGGTTGGGACAAGAAGACAAATGTAGGAGTGGTTAGATGCTGAGAACAATGTGGAAACTTTTCTGGGGAAAGAAAACATTTCTGGTAGGAGGCATTAAAGTTAATGTCTATGTATAACCCTAACAGTTTCACCACTGAGTGGGTATACGCAGGGTGTGTGTGTGTTGGGGTGGGGGTATCTTGCAAAATGACATGGAAACCCGACTGCAGTTCTTTTGAGAAGAGGACTTGGAGGTGTCTCAGGGATGGGGACAGGATGGAAGATTGGATCTCTTCTGGACTTCAGGGAAGAATGACGAAACCAAAGGGAAACAATCCAAGGCAGATTAATGAATTCATTCTGATATTGGTGAATTCACAATAGATTCTAATCAGTTCCACTCCACCCTCCCGCCCCAGCCCCGCCTTCTGTTTGCAGAACCGGCGCTAAGCAGGATTCCCCAAGCTGCATCATCACTCCCTGCGATTCGCTGTCCCGGGAAATTTTCCTGCCTCACCCCGGAATCCGTGTTGGACTCTTCTCTGGCTGGGCTGTTCATTGCCAGCCACCCCGAGACGCCCTGCGCGCAGGCAGCACCCCCTCCAGTCTCACGGCCATCCCGGGCTGCAGCGCGGGGAGGGGGTCAGGGAGCCAGCCAACTCGGGGAAACTTCGCGGCCAGGGATGACTGGGGTTTTCGGGCTTCCCCAGCCTGCCCTCGCCGAGCCACGCCGCACCGCAACTGTCGCCGCGCCGAGGCCGGGCAGGTTCTGAGCCGCAGAGACCCAGGCGACGGACAGTGGCGCTTTACCACCAGATGCCCCCGGGACGCGGCCGCAGCCAGCCCCGGGCTCCTGGTGAGGGACGCCGAGTGCAGGGACACTTTGCGCCACGACGCTTTGTTTTCCTGCCGCAGGAACGCAAGGCGGCCTCTTTCCACCAGATTTAACCCGCCCGAAGCAATAGCTATGGAAGTTGCGGCGGCACCAAGGGAGAGGGAACCGCTTGGCGCCGCGTCCCTTCTGGATGTTTTTTCTCTCCACAGACCACTTCTTTCCGTCTTTGGGTAAGTGGAATCCAGTTTGTAAATAACGAAAGGGCAGAATTGAAGGTGATGGAAGGGGATTGCAGTAACCCAAAGGGTTAATATGCTAAGTTCTCTTAGGAAGGGGTCTTCCTCCTACCCCTGCACCCCGTACAGTCCGTGCCAAACACGCAGTTGAGGAGGAGTTAGATTTGATTTCAGGCACTTTGGCGGAGAGGGTGCTAGGATTTATTTACTTCTTTATTTCTGGTGGATTTTTTTTTTTTTTTTGTGGCCACTAAGTTGTCTTTGTCCACATTCTAAGAAGGGAGAATGGAAGTGGAGGTGAGAGAAAGCCCCAAAGGTTGGTGGTGGGAAAAGGGAAGGGGGGGAAGGCACCCAGTGATTTAGCAGAGGGATGATCATAAGAGCCAGTGACTAGTGCAAGTCTTTAACCGAGACCGGGAGCACTAGACCCTGGTCGTGCTCCCCCTATCCCCTACTCCACCCCCAAACTCCCCAGCCCCTCAGTGATGTCCTGCTCATACCATTCTGGAGAAGGTCCTTGGTTACCCAGGGAACAAAATAACTTCTAATGAGGATCTACAAGCTGTCTTGTACGCGAGGGATGCTCAATAAATGTTTGTTGATTGTCTGAAGGATGATGCATCCTAAGGCTGCATTTTTTGCCACAGGAATTTGCCTTGGACAGTGAACTAATTCCCTGATGTAGACCCTAGAAAACAAGGATACCCAATTCAAACGAAGAGAGGCTGGAGTCTTAGACAACATAATATTTAGATCTTCATTGCCCAAAAGAACCCACCTGACAGCTTCAGGGTCAGATTCGTGTGTTCCAGGGGCCAGATGAGTTTACAAGGTTCTGGCATAGAGAACATGGGCCTTTGGGTTATGCAAACTTGGGTTTGAATCTATGCGTTGTGACCTTGGGAGTGTTTCTTTATCTCTCTGAGCCTTGACCTTCTCATCTGTAAAAGGAGGCCAGTTAGAGCTTCCTCAAAGTGATGCAGGGAAAATGAATGGAGAGATATGAGAAGTGAAGGGGGCATATTCATCTTGCCTCCCCATCCTCAGAGGATTCAGGAGAAAGGGTGTCTTTCTCTGCTGACACCCCTTTCTGACTCTGATGCAGATAAAAACATTGTATTGCAGTGATTGGGCTGGATCCCAACTGCCTGTGAACAGTTAAGGAGAGGATAGAGTGAGGCTTGTAAGCCTTTTTTAGGAGCTTAGAAGCGCTCCCTTTGGACTTGAGAACATAATTTACATACATACTGGTGTCCCTGAGGGCATGGCTGGGAGAAGTAGCCATTCCTTGTTTGTCTCATTTCCCTGTCTCATCATCCTCTCAGTTTTCTTCTAGTAGAGGAAGGCAAAGTGTGGAAACAGAGTCTAAGAAGGTGGTTCTGAAGCATCTGGGGAACCTGCCAATTAGATCAGCACTGGTTTTGCCTGAAGGGGGTCTGCAGAGAACTCAGGCTCCAGCCTGGGCTGCCTGTAGGGTCAGTGACAGAGCACTTACCAACCTTTCCCATAGACCACAGTGGACCTCTGAGGATCTTGTCCTGGGATTAGAAACCTGGACGTCACAGTGGGGGATGGATGATGAGAAAGACGCTGCTGACACAGAGCTCCCCAGAAGCCGCAAGGAGCCCTAGAGTGACATGTAATTCAGAGATCACTGCTGGTGTAGGGTTTTAAGCCCACAGCTGGCAGGCTTGGGAATGAGCTGGGCAGTCACTTGCTATTTCATAAGTAAAGGCAACAACAATCTAATTTGGCTTTATGGTACTAGACAGTAAGCCCCACGAAGGCATGGGCCACGTCTATCTTGTTCCCTGCCATATGGCCAGCACCTAGCACAGTGATGGACATAGAAAGGTTCCATGTTGAATGAACAATAAATTTAAGTAACCTTATCTGTAGATAAGCCAGAGTAGGGACTTAAACCACTTCCTATCCAACATTGCCGCATGCAATTCATGCCTTCATTTATTAAGTATTTCTTGAGCATTTACTACATGCAACGCTCCGTTGCTAGGCATCCGAAAGAATTTGTCAGCATCATTCATGTTGATTCTTGCAGTGACTCCTTCGAGAGCACCTCAGCACCACCTGGCATTTCAGGAGACTGAGGCCCCTTCCACAGAACCCTGTGGCGTTTCAGGCAGGGGCGCTGAGGGATGGGGGATGAGGAGAATGCTCCAGGTTTAGCTTCTTTCTGGGAACATGGCTGGGGTCCGTTCGCACCCGCCCCTGCTGCGTCTCCGGGCTCCCGGGCGGCCGAATCCCGAACCTGCCGGGTCTTGGCAACTCCGCTTTCCTCCGGGGCCGCCGCGCCTCTCTCCAGCCCTCTTTCCAGCCTCGGATCTGCCGCCCCAGTCGGGCCGCTGGTAGCTGGGGAAGGGACCGAGCTGCGCCTGGGGAGCGAGGCTTCCCCGGGCGGGGAGAGCGCAGGCGACGCAGAGCGGTCCCAGAACAAAAGGCTCATGGCTGGCACCAGCCTCCTCGGAGTGCGGCGGGGACGTGGGTTCGGGGCTCCGGCGGGAGAACCAGGCGCGGGAAGAGATAGGAGGGAAAAAATGAAGCGAGAAAAGAAGGGGAGGGGGCGCCCAGGGTGGGAGCGGTGAGAAGAGGTGACCCTCCGAGGCTGAGGTCTGCGGCGGGGCCGCTGCGGCCCTTCCTCCGCCTCCCGCAGCGCCTTCCAGGCAGCCAAGCGTGTCTCCGGCTGCAACTCCACCGAGCGCGCCGCGGCCGCCTCCACGCCCGCCCGCCGGCCCGCCGAGCCAGTAAGTAGCGGCGCGCCCGCCGCTCGCTCCCCCGCCCGCCGCGGCTCTCCCGACGCCGCACCCGCCGCCTCCCGCCGCCCCGCGGGCAAGTCCGCGGCCGCCAGCTGCCGCCGGGGCCGGCGCCTGGGTCTCGGCGCGGCTCCCGGTCGGGCGCCCCGGTCCACAGCTCGCCCCGCGCCCTCCAGCCGTGGCTCGGCGTCTGCGGCGCGCGGTGGGGCGGGTCGCCCTCGCCGCGCGCTCCCCGGGCGCCGCGCCACCCCTCCGTCCAATGGCTTTCGGGGAGCTGGGAGTGGGGGGCGTCACCGCGGGCGAGGAGCGGCGGCCAGGGTGGGGCGTGTGCGCTCTGCGCGGCCGAGCGAGGCTGACGTGCCTGCCCAAGCGCGCGCCCGGGAGTGTGTGTGCGAGAGTGTGTACGGGAGTGTGTGCGCACACGCCCTCGGGGGCCGGAGGGACACTGCAGTGGGCTTCTCCCCAGCCCCGGCCTTCCGGCTGCTCAGCCTCCAACCTGCCGGCTTCGCTTTTGGGAAGCAGCTTGGCTCTTGCGTCTTCCCAAGCCTCCCTCTCCATCCTCTCATCCACCCCTCGCCGACCTTACTTTTCCTTTTACCCGCCGGGCGCGGCCGACCACCCCTCAACTGGTGCAAACACCCAGGCTGTCCCCAGTCCTCTCCCAAGCCAGTATTCTCCCACCTGTCTTTCTCTGGGGTTCCTCCAGGAGCCGGTCCAAGGCTCCCCCATCCTTGGA